TCATTTGGGGTGACCAGCCTGAAATTTACATAGTTTTGAGGTTTCAAGTCTGAGGCCTTAGGCCGTTTTGGGATTCAACTTTTGAGTTTGGGTTTCAAGTTTTGGAACGTGCTGTGTGGCCAGGTCTTCTCGCTGACGAGCTCTTTGGCCAAGACAAGAACATTCTTCCAGAGTGCTGAGAATGAGAGCATTGACAGATTGGCCAGCTTCTTCAATGTGAGCTCCGGTGGACTGAAGGATCAACTGGATCGGCTCCGACCTTTAGCCCAGAAGCATTGCAAAGAAAGCCATTCCAGCGCGAAAGATGCTTGGGTAGCCACCATGTTGGCTACTCAAACAGGGGGTCAATGAAGGACAGCAGCAAGGTCAAACTATGTCTTTGTTTTAAAAATGTTGCGTTGACTAGATTGATTGGATCGAATTGTTTTAATTGATGTTGAAATGCACTTTATCAATTAACCATCTATGAGCGTGCCTTTCTTTTTTGAAACCGCATCACGTTCACAGGAGTCTTACCCCATCTCAGACCTGGCCCCAGTGATGTACCGATATCTTGCTTGGCAGGCATCCACGAGTGGGGTTGAGCAGAACTTTGCAAAGTCCGAGAGAATGAAGACGTGCGGACAAACACCTGCATCCGCAGAATTTGAAGACCGGGCCTTGCGAATGTTACTTTGCAAAACAAGCCAGGTGGACATGAATGATTCAGTGAAGAAGGCTCTGCAGCTGTACAATCGATGCCATGTGGGTGCCTTGAAGTCTTATCATGTTTGTTGTTTCATAGGGCGTGCTTATTCTGGCCACTATTTATGTTTCATTCATCTGAGGCACCACCCGCGCGCATGTGAAAAAGAGAGTCGACAAGTCAGTGAAGCGCCCTCCTGGACCTGACGAAGATCCCCGCGCAGAGGCTGGCTTCAAAAGACTGAGGCACAACCAGGTGAACGACGCTATGCTTGGTTTGGATGATGCCTTGTCGTTGTCCTTTGACTTAAATTTGACCCCAAGTCAAGATAGCCAAGTGGCTGCTCTTTGGGGCGAGGGTCACGAAAAAGAGTTTCAGTTTCAGAAAGGCAAGCAAACCCGGCGGGTCGTTGAGGGCTTCCGTGATGGCCTGCTGGATGAATCAGAAATTGATGAAGCTGATCTAGCCCTCGCCTTGGAAAAGGAGAAGAAGCAGGACAAAGAGCTGGTGCGTGGGAATAAGTCGTTCAATGAGATGGCGTCCAAGATGAATGGCCCAATGGATTGAGACATCCTGACTGGCCAAACGATTTGGGTGGATTCGAGCCTGCAGAACGATCCTGAAGTAGAAGTCTCGCTGATGAAACACAACTTATTTGCAGTCACTGAACGCAAAGAAGCAACTCTTTTTGCAGTCCCTGACTGCACCACCTTGTCAGAACGCGTGAAGCTCTTTGCCGCTTTGTTCGGCCTCAGAGTCTTGGATGGCTCACTTGTGCAAGGTAAGCCAGGCTTTCTTGTCAAGTCAAGGCATCCATCAACACAAGGCAAAGGGTCTTCTTCAGCAGCCAGTTCCATCAAAAACATCCAGACTTTGAGGGCACAGTGATGCGTGCTTTCAATGTTCGAGGCAGCAAGTGGAAGCCGGCAGATAACAGGTCCGATGCCACTATCAAGTTGGTCACCACGACTGAAGCTGCGCGGGCCAAGGTTGTTGGCGGGGATGATGCGGGGCATCATTGCAAGTCCTCTTTCTTGGAAAGTATTTCCAAGATGGACTTCAAGAACTCTGGTTACTACAAGCCGTAAATGCGGCATACAGGGAACACCTCGGTGGGGCCAGGTGAAAATATGATGTATGATTGCGTCATTGAAGTCAAGATGGGTTTGTTTTGTTGTATTCATACATTGTCCTGCCCATTGCATAAGTTCAAAACCATTTGGCCATGGTTGGCTGAATAGCGTTCATAAAGCTTTGTCTTCATTTTTAGAAGAATGGTAAATGAACACCTGCTGCTTTTTCATTCAGAGGCTCAAGAGCTGAACATGTTCATCTCAGACTTAATTCATTTTGATGCCAAGCAATGAACGTGCTTTTCAAGAGCCGCTCGAGCCAGCCAGCCACTGGAGCCAAACCTGGTATAGATCAAGGTGATGAGTGGCCGGCGGTGATGGGGCGACGATGGCGGTGATGAATGTGGCGGTGATGGGGCGATGATGATGGCGATCACGCATTGAGGGATGCATGGATATCAGCGCATGTTTATTGGGTTCAACCCATGGGCAACCGCCTCATGGATATGCCGTGCGAGCTCAAACAATGCCTATCTTGCGCGCAGCTTGCTTTTTCTGGTATTGAACGTTAAATGACTTCAGAGCCCGACGAGGCCGGGTGATGCCGGGCTTTATCGGGCTCTGAAGTTACACAAGCTGAGTTTCTGCAAATTCACAATGTCATTTGATGACAAAAGCTGATTCTGCAATTCTGCAAATTGTTTCTGCTCTCAAAAGCCGATTCTTAGATCAAGCCGATGTCATTTGAAGAAGTCAAGCCAAGTTGAAAAAACACAATTCATGGCAGTTCACGGCATACTTCCGTGATACTTACCAAACCGCTTTCATTGAGCTTTGCCGGCATGCCACACGCCGATGACGAGCCTAACGCGCTTGGCGAAATAGACTTCCTGAGAATCATGCGTTCCTCGAGATTCACGGATGTCAAGAGACTGGGTGAAGGTGGCTTTGGTGTGGTTTACAAGGGTAAACATGCAGACGGGCAACTACGCGTGGTCAAGTTCACCCCCAACGCGCATGAGGAGCTCTTAGAAAGAAAACGGCAAAGCTGAGGCACCCATCATTGATCCAGATGTTCAAGGTGTGGCGAACCTCTGATCCAGACTCAGCGTACGTGGAGATGGAGTTTTGCGGTGGAGGAGATGTTCACAGCCGGATTTATGGAGGGCCGACTCTTGCAGCAGAACTCATCCTGTGGCCTGCCTGCATTTGATAAATTTGTTGTCGGTTGCATAAATTTTGAACTCCATAGTAAGGACTGACTGCAGTTGATTTTTTGACATGTGTGCATTTTACATGTCGTCATCGTTTGCTCAAATGCAGGAAATGGATCCATCAATGCATGGGAGGCATCCACTTCATGCACAGTCTCTTGTCATTGAAGTTTGCCTGAGGCTCATTTACTAAGAAATTCAAGTTTTTTCATGATACGATGTCATTATTTAGTCAAAGACCGTTGTTTTCAATCAAGCCAAGGTCACGAAATACTTCACTGTGACATCAAGCCAGCTAATATATTTCTGACAAGTGATGACAATGCAAAACTGGGCGACTTTGGACTGGCTGCCAAAGGAAGTCATGCCGTTTGGCTAGAATAAATGGCTGACGCGTTTCAATGAAAAATTATGCCCTTGAGTCCTTGATTGAGAATTGAGAATTGTGTGGATGTGATTAGTTTTGATTATCCAGCAGTGGTCAATCTTGCGTCGTCACAGGCCCTTCTGCGCGGTACTATGGAATATCTTCCTGCGTCTGCATTGGAAACACAAACAGTGTGGCCATGGGCTGACGTCTATGGACTTGGAGCAGCCTCTCTCTGGGAACTTATTGAAAGAGATCTTCTTTTTCCTGAGACGCCTTTGACCAAGGAAACTCATTGTTTGAATTCAATATATGTCAACTTGAAGTGTTTAAATTGACTCCTTTTGTTCTTATCGTCGCTGGAACTGTGCAGGAGCTTCAGCGGCCAGGACCACGCTAGATACCCGTTCCCAGAAATGAGTCCAGCGCGAAGTCCATGGCGGGACTACAATGGCCGCCTTCAACGTGTATTCGATGAGGCCAAGGAAGAGAATTCGTCAGCTTCCTTCGCCGACACGGTGGACTGGTTGGAAGAAATCATGCGGCAGTTACAGTTGCAGACAGACGAGATGCCTACTGGACCAGCAGCTATCGAACAACATGTTCGTAAGGTTAGGAAGCGAGGAGGCAAACCATCAGCCAAAGCATCGAATATGGCCAACCAAGCCAGAAGAGTTCGCCGTGCCTCGGAAGCACTAAGTAAAATATCCATACTATAACCCACTTTGACACAAACAACTATAAGATTTGACTTGGCACAGATTATCATCTATAAAACTGTTGATACATCTTTGAACTACTCAGGAAAAGCTGCCAAGAATAAGAAGAAGAATGAGGGCAACGACAATGGCACGGAATCAATGCCTACTTCTTAGAGGACTGAAGTTTGACATTTGATGCATGAAGACATTCGTTGGTATTATGTTAATAACACACATTTCTTAATCTTACCCCAAAACCACAAAAACGCAACTCTTAAACGTCGGCCCCCCAAAACGCAACCGCTAAACGTCGCCCACCCCTCGCCGGACAAACCTGGCTTCTCCCGGAAAGTTTGGCTGGCGAGAGCTACCCCCCCCGTTGGGTGGGGAGGCTCGCCAGGCAATTCTAGATTCGCTTGGCGAGAGGGACCCCCCCCGCTACGGATCCGTCACCGGAAAGATAGCCCTCGCCACACGGGCATCAATGGTGGGGGTGGCCCTCGCCAGGCGAACCCAGCTTTGCCTGGCGAGAGCTACCCCCCAACGGGGGGGGGGGTAGCTCTCGCCGCGACTTTTTACCGAGGGCACCATTTTGACAGCTGGCAGGACTGGAGCCTGAACCAATTCATGACTGCTATTTACCCCAGCGACTTGCCAGTCATTCAGACTTTAATTTTTGAAGTTTCAAAGAAGACAGTGGAAGGGATATTGCTGCTCTCAGGTCTCAAAGGCGCTCTGGCTGATGTGATCATTCGCGGAAAAAATATGCAGGACTGATTATGTTCAATAATGAACTTTCAAAGACTTGCAAGAAACAAATCTTGTTGCATCATGATTCTTGGGCGGGTGGATTTCGCAATTTTTAGATCAATCTTTGTCTGCCTTGACCTGCCGCGCCCGCCACATCGTCACAACGTGATGCCGGACCATTGGACTAAGTGGAAATTGAACAAAAAGGAGGAGAAAGAAGTAGAGGAACACGAGAAGACGGTTTACGATGGCAGCGTTGCTATGGGGAACACCGTTGAGGATGCCCAGAAAGCTGCGCGCGAGGCCAAACTGGCCAAGACCAAGGCGCGCAGGACAAACCAAAAAACTGTCATGTGCACAAAAAGACACATTATGTTCATTCAACTCAGTTCAAAAGATTTCGACCGACTGTTTTTGGAGTTCTTCACTGACAAGGCCATGAAGGAGCAGAAAATGGCCCGAGCGGCCGCCAAGAAATCTGGAACAGTTACCACTGTTGCCACTACTGCTGGGACCTACATTGACAAGGACAGCCTGCCACCGGAGGCCAACACCAGCTACTACGAGAAGATTGTGGACAGCATGAATGTCATCCTAGCCAACCACAACTTCTGTGACATCCAAACTGCAGAGGCGCTACCCATTGTTGATGGAGCTAAGACTTCAGGGGTGCAGGCTGGGGTTATTTGACAAGTCGTTGATTCAAGCAAAAGAAATGCTGTGATTGATTGACCATGCTTATTTTAATAATGACTCGGCCAGGAACCCTTCAACAGCAAGGCATGCGAGATAGCCTTGCGCAAGGAGGGCACATACCGCTGCGGGATCAACCTTCTTTGGATTGACCCGTTTGCATCTATCACACCTGCAGTCCCCCTAGACCATTCCCGCGTCGTGGAGCTGGGGCAGTTCGCCTATCCTGATGGAAAAAACTCCGAGACACCTCCAGGAGAACTTTCATGTAGCCACCGATGCTGCGGATGTGGACCTTTTGGGGAAGCGTGGAAAGTGGCGAGGAATCAGTCCTGAAGAGATGCAGCACAGTCTCATCTTTGCTTTGGCCAAGTGCATTGAGGACAAGGCAGGTGCAAAACGAATCATTCAAGACTGATGTTGATTTCATTTTTGAAACGATAATACAAATTTTAAACTATTAAGGCTTGTGTTCATCTCTTTTCTATGCCTTTCAGGTGGACGATGACTGTCTCCAGGATTGGCGAAAAATCTTTTTGACGGCTCCTTGCGCGATTACCATCGTGGGCAACGACGACCAGATGTTTTGGGAAGCCTTTCGCAAAAGACAGCAAGTCATTGCCTCCTATGACTGTGTCAAGCGGTCAGCTCGACAACTTGCGCATGAGGTCCGTGCTTTCAAGGTGAAGAAGGAGAAGGAAACAGGAGAATCCCTATCCATCAAGGATATCACGGACCTTTTCGGTGAAAAGAAAGACCTGATGGCCAAATCTACTCGTCAGGGTGACATGGCCGACGGATTTGTCAAGGATTGCTTGTATGTCTATGACAAAATGTTGTCCGACCCAGACTGCAATCAAGTCCTTGATCGCTTACAAGCATTGTTTTGCATGGGTTCACCTTTAAATTCGCTGAGCAAGCTTCGGGTCGTCATTGAGAAGAGCGAGAACCTCGAGACAAGGCCAGCGGTCATTGATTGTTGACGTCATTGGTGTATGGTGTATATCAAAAACATAAAATAATTGAGTGAAAAGTTGCGCAACTTGACTTTGCTCAGGCAATGGGTCCTGCAGGTGCTCTGCGACATGATCGAAAATGGGCAGCTGGACAAGGATACCATTAGCAAAGGATATTTGCAAGGGAGTGGCACCAGCGCATCGCTGGTTGAACTGCTGAAGTTGAAGCGAAGCACTGTACAGCACTTTTTGCAGGTTCGGTTCGTGTGTTCTTGAAGCCGGTGTATCAATGAATGATGCTGTTTCTAATTTGTTTCAATTCCCTTGCAGGTGGAACTGCCAAGGAACCAGTTCGACACGGAGGATCTGAAGATGATCTATGAGAAGATCATGACAGCGAAGAACTACAGGAAGTATGTGAATCCGAGCAAGACAACGGACAGCTCTATCCTTGCAGAGGTTCAGTGGATGTCTTCTTTGAAAGGCTCAAGCTTGCTGGTGCTACGGCTGATGGAGGACGACATTGTTCTTGTATTGAGTGTTCTTTCAGTCTTAGTCGTTCTTAATTTATAGTTTTTGTTCTTGATTTGTTTTTTAGCTGTGTTTGCAGGACCTTCTCTATAGCGTGACTTTGAATGGACCGCTGGTTGTGCTCTTGAAGAAGGGCAAAGGTGAGCCCGCTCGAACTTCTCGACATTGAGACGTTCAATGTCCGGTGGCAGCCCTGCTTGGCTGCCAAGAACAACGAGCTGGCGGCGGAGAAGGCATTGTACCAACAGGATGGCAAAAATGCCAAAGAAGATGTTTGCACCCAGATCGCCGAGGGAAGCTTGGCGCCACAGCCATCCAAGTACCCAAAAGGATCTCGTGAGTACCTTGGATTCAAACCACAAACTTTAGATGTTCTTCTAACTCACTGTTATGCTTTTGATTGTCAAGTTTACGGAATCGATCATTGATCTGTCAGTGAGGCATTTTGTCGCTACCGCCGCGGAGCAGGTTCAGATCTATGTGAGCCTGGTCCCAGAGCCAGCCACAATGGCAGGAGTAGCCAAGGTGGTGAAAGAATCACATGTTGCACAGCATCTGGGTGCGCAGGGCAAAGGGTGCATCATGATCCACTTTGATGCGCAGCTTTTTGGTGAATCCTTGAAGCGGCCAGACAGGCGGTTCCCGCCATTGAGTCCTGCGCTTGTCAAGAAGCTTGTGCATGGTGCTTTGAAAGGGCGGGGGTGCAGCCCCAACTCCAAGGTCGGCGATGATCACTACGACAAGCCATTGGACGGTGATTATGTGTTCCTGAACGATGGTGGCCGCAATGTGCTTGAGTCCCTGCTCTCTCCTTTCAAGGCCAAGGAGACGGGCAAAGCCTCCATTGCCCACTACCTGGACACAACCGAAATCACCCTTTGCCTGAGCCAGGACCAACTTTGTGTCATTGAGCTCAAACTGGATTAAGTCTATAACACACATGTTTGGGGCTTGAAGCAAACAGTCAAATAGTAGTCAAATCCGGCCCCAATGTACAGGAGTCAGTGGAGAGCAAGCGGAAGCTCAATCGAGGATCTATCAATCAGATTCAACGATGGCACGTCATCGGTACAGAACCGTTGTCATCCTGGATCCCGGAACGCAAACACTCAAAGTACCCTGGCAGTAACAGAGGCAACTGCATTGGTTGGATTGGGCTACCACCTCCAGCTGAGGAGTGGTCACTGACCTTCAACCAGAAGAAGCTTAAACTAAGATTTGGGCATATTTGGGCGTTTTTGCCAGTATATATTAAGATGATGGATAAGAGAGAAGGAATATGTTTGTTCATGATTGTTCCTTGGAGTTTGTCAGTCATTGAAAATTGTTCTGAGACCCGCCGAGGAAAGAGCTCTATGGAGCAAAGATGGTTGGCTGCGATGCCCCGACGAGCGAGGAGAAGGACAAAGAGGAGGTTCGCGATGGGGGAGCTTATGAGCCAGTCTTCTTCCACCACCTCTCGACAACCTTCTACCTGAAAGCTTTGAAGGCCTATGAGGTGCGAGCTGTGGTGGATTTGACCACGGGATGTGGCAGCCGTGCGAAAGCAGCGCTACTTCAGAGGATCCCCTTCCTAGGCATGACGCTGACTGAGTCCCATGCCAGCCTTTTGAAGGCCGAGCTGGTGAAGTTCGTCAAGCAGAAGATGACTGAAGAAGGGAGCACGTTCTACAGCCCAGAGTGGTGTGCACTTGCTGGTGCTGGCGACGCTGGTGGGGGTGATCCAAAGCCAAAGCCCGGGCCGAAGGCGAAGGTAAAGCCTGAAGCCAAACCAAAGCCCGAAGCAAAGCCAAAGCCTCGAGGCACTAAGAACAAGGGCGGCGGCGAGGATCCCAAGCCGAACAAGAAACCCAAGACCGATCATCTGAGGCGGACAGCGATGCTTCCGGCGAACGCGGCAGCTGAATGGCCAAAGGGAGCCTATTTCGGAAGGTTTTTGACAGGGCCCTCATGCCCTCATGCCATCGATCGTGTTGGGTTCATCAGCGGTGACTGGGCCACAGCGCCTGAGTCTGAGACTGATGTTATCTGATTCTTGGCTGACAAAACCTGCAAGGCATGACCGGCTTGACTTTGGCCTGGTTCATTTCATCAGTTCAAACTTTTCAGAACTTTGGATCAAGTTGTAGGCTTGCATTGACATGTTTCAGTATTATATTTCAGTTCTGTGACTTTTTCAGAACTTGAGATCAAGCCCTGTCGGTCCTGTGCCGGTCCTGCCCTTTGCCATCATCCATGGACCTGGACTTTGCAGCGGTGGAAGTGTTCAACCAAAACGTCAAAGGGGCATCGTCGGGAGGTCGGCCTTGCAAAGGGGTCATCAAGCGGTTGAAGACAAAGACTAAGAAGACCAAGACGACCAAGACTAAGACTGAGTCGACCACGAAGGATGTCGGCGAGGGAGACGCTCAAGAGACGCATGGATAATAATTACATATAATTACAGTAAGTTCATGTTGATACCATGTTTGATTGACTTTTGCGCAAGAAATATGTTGATTGACATTGACTTCAACATTTGGCCCTAAGGAAGTTTGCACGAATGCTCTTGCAGAAGTTGGTGGACAAGGCAAAGTCTTCTCGCAAGTCTAAGCCGCCAAGCCCTTTCAAGAAAGGCACCATTGTTCTGGGTTCCGACTGCTGCGGGCTGGGGTCTGATTTTGTGAGCCTGAAGTTGGCCTTTGGGAACAAGTTGAAGCTGGAGACCGCTTTCATCTCCGACGCTCGACATTTGATTTGGTTGAACGACGATTGATTTATTTTATTATGATCATTGGTGTTGTTCAAACTCCATTCAAGGACATCGATGAAGAGCGGAGAATGATGGCTCTGGAACTTCATGCACACTATGAAGACAAACCGGTGACTTGGCTAACTTTCTGCATTTTTCTTAAAAGTGTAAGTGCTCGTGTTTAAGTAACAAGTGTTTGCTTGATTGGTTTTGTTTGGCTTCTCTTTCAGGAGATGGTGTTTGGAGACATTACGGCTCGGAACAATGAAACGGCTCCTTCATGCAATGTCTACATTTCAGGGGCACCGTGTCCGCCATTCAGCAACGCTGGCCTCCGCAAATCTTTGGGAGACAGCAGAAGCTGTGTCTTTCTGAGCTCGGTCGACTATGTCTTGACCCGGAAACCAAAGCTTGCAATATTTGAAAACGTAAGCGGCCTTGTGAATGCAAAGAACAAACCAATATTCAATGCCATCGTGAAGGTATTGAAAACGGCCGGTTACAAGTGCCAGGCACAGATCATGAACAACTGCACCCACGGTGCGATCCCGCACAACAGGCCGAGATTATACCTGGTGGCAATGTTTGAAGATGGAGAGAACCCCAACAAGGAGCTGCCTTGGTTTCCAGATGCCGTGGACTGTCCCAAGCTGCAGAGGTTCCTAGTGAACAATGTGAAGCAGAACACTCGTCTTTGCAAGTCAGCGGCCAAGAACGTCACGGAGGCGCGCCGCATTGCCAAGAAGAAGTGGGAAAAAGACCATGGCTTGGTGGTCGTGGATGCTCAGGCCAGTGCAAAATTCCGAGCAATCATGCATGGCAAGGTGCCTTGCCTGACAAAGGCGCGAGGTGGCTCCAATGGGCACTACATCATTTTTAAGTATCAGGGTGATGGCCGATGGATGAACTTGCAGGAGATTGGTGGGTTGCAGGGATGGCCGAAGTTGCACTTGGATTACCTACAGCAGAGCCACAGTGCCTGTGTGATTGGGAAGACGTTTGGAGATGGTTTTTGCCTCATTTTGTGGCAGCGGCTGTTTGCAAAAGTGCTCTTGGCGGCAAACCTGATCAAGAAGAAGGATCAGCCACCGGACATTTGGGTCGATTGTCACAAGGCTCATGGGCATCTTCCTGACGCCATGTACGGAGCTGACACTAAGCATGAGAAGTTTGCTTTGTGGCATTAATTAGTTGGCTGATGGCTGGAAGTTTATGGATTGGATTCGATGCTAAGTTTTAAGTCTTAGTCTTATTTTCATGTTGTGTTGAATGAGCTGAACAGCATTGAGACAGC